TTTTTTGTATTTTTAGTAGAGACAGGGTTTCACCGTGTTAGTCAGGATGGTCTCGATCTCCTGACCTCGTGATCCGCCCGTCTCTGCCTCCCAAAGTGCTGGGATTACAGGCATGAGCCACCGTGCCCAGCCAGTATTCCAATTTTAACAGGTGAATGAATTAATACATAAAAGTCCTCTCTTGATAAAATGCATTAGTAAGCTTGGAGCAACTAATGATCAAATCATTATTTTATCAATGGCAAAATAGGTTCAACAGAATAAACTTAAGAATTATCTTAGATAAACTGGGCGCAGTGGCTCACACCTGTAATCCCAGCACTTTGGGAAGCAGAGGCAGGCAGATCACTTGAGGTCAGGAGTTGGAGAGCAGCCTGGCCAACATGGTGAAACTCCATCTCTACTAAAAACACAAAAATCAGCTGGGTGTGGTGGCAGGCGCCTGTAATCCCAGCTACTTGGGAGGCTGCTAGGCAGGAGAATCACTTGAACCCGGGAGGCATAAGTTGCAGTGAGCCGAGACCGCCCCATTGCACTCCAGCATGGGCAACAAGAAGGAAACTCCATCTCAAAAAAAAAAAAAAAAGAATTGCCTTAGATAATCTTAATTTGGTCTTTTTAATCAGTTAACTTTTAAAAAATGGGTCTTTCTCAGAATTCTAATTTAAGAAGACATAAATAAGGAAATACTTTCACTTAATCTTAAAAAAAAGAAAGCAAGCAACATTGCTCTGTAAAACAGAAAGCTTTTCTATCACTGAAAGCCAGGAGTAATTTCCACTGATTACCATGGCACCCAATGGTAGGCACTGCCACAAGAACAAGAGGCTAAAAGGTTAAAAAAAAAACTTTCAGCATTCCGGCAGGACGCAGTGGTTCACGCCTGTAATCCTAGCACTTTGGGAGGCTGAGACGGGCGGATCACCTGAGGTCAGGAGTTCAAGACCAGCCTGGTCAACATGGTGAAATCCTGTCTCTACTAAAATAAAATTTTAAAAAATTATCTGGGCTTGACAGCGGGTGCCTGTAATCCCAGCTACTCGGGAGGCTGAGACTGGAGAATCACCTGAACCTGGGAGACGGTGGTTGCAGTGAGCTGAGACTGCGCCACTACACTCCAGCCTGGACGGCTGAGTGAGACTCTGTCTCAAAACAAAAAAAGCTTTCAGCATTCCACTAATCCACTAGCAAACTCAAATGTCTATAGATTGTCTATATTTCTTCAATCAAAATTCTGGAACAAAATACACAGCTTTGAAAGAGGCAGTGCTCCCTCCCTCTCCCAGAGTAGCTGATGTGATGTTGTATTTCTCTTTCTCTTCATACACACTCCCATATATGTTTGTCCTGCTTTTTCTTTCAGTAACGTTGAACACTGCAGTTTCATCAACTATTTCTGATAGTTTCCATTTTAAATCTATTTTATCTCCTTATTCTATGTTCCTAAACCAAACACTTAACTGAATTGCCTACTTCATAATCTCTCCAACCACTCTTAACAAACGCAAACCTGAAATCAGAATTTAAACACCGGTTTAAAATTTTTTTTTTTTGAGACGGAGACACACTGTGTCGCCCAGGCTGGAGTGCACTGGCGCGATCTCGGCTCACTGCAACCTCTGCCTCCCGGGTCACGCCATTCTCCTGCCTCAGCCTCCCAAGTAGCTGGGATTACACGTGCCCGCCACCACACTAAGCTAATTTTTTGTATTTTTAGTAGAGACGGGGTTTCACCATGTCAGCCAGGGTAGTCTCAATTTCCTGACCTCATGATCCACCTGCCTCGGCCTCCCAAAGTGCTGGGATTACAGGCATGAGCCACCACGCCCAGCCAAACCAGTTTAAAATTTTCTAAAAATTTGTGTTCCATGTCTTATGAGACTTACAGTAAATAGGGGTTTCAAAATAACATGGCCTGCCATATGGTCAAGCCAGATTTAAAAATTGAGAATATCTATTACCAATCCACTAATGCTAAAGCCAAAGTCACAGACAGTAAGAATGTAATCCAATTTAGAGACCAACATGAGCCAAATCTTTTGGGCAGAGACAAACAATCCAACGACAAAACTACAATAAATGCCAACACTGCACTTCTAAAATAAAATCAACGTTATTCATTAAAGTATTAGCTACAAAAAGTCAACTGATGGTAGATGAGTCTACAGATGCCCTGAAGACCTTTTTCATCCTTTAATCAAAGCGGTATTTAGCTACAAAGCTACAACTTTTCCAGTGGACCAACACACACAGAAAATGAACCAAAAGACACAGAACATTTTTAACAAAGCAAAGGGAAGAGAACAAAGCTCTGGTACTTTTGCAGGATAGTACAACACCTCCTTTGAGAAATAAATTAACTCCTCAAATTCTATTTCTCAAGTGATCAATATACATCTACCTACATGATACAAGCTTTGAAACCGAAGTCATTGGGCATAAAAAAGATTTACAGAGGTTTAACTCTTTTGAGACAGTCTCACTCTGTCACCCAGGCTGGAGTGCAGTGGCGCAATCTCGGCTCACCGCAATCCCTGCCTCCCGGGTTCAAGCGATTCCCCTGCCTAAGCCTCCTGAGTAGCTGGGATTACAGGCGCCCACCACCATGCCCGGCTTTTTGTTTGTTTGTTTGAGACAAGTCTGGATCGGCTGCCCAGGCTAGAGTGCAGTGGCGCGATCTTGGATCACTGCAAGCTCCACCTCCCAGGTTCACACCATTCTCCTGCCTCAGCCTCCCGAGTAGCTGGGACCACAGGCACCCGCCACCACGCCTGGCTAATTTTTTCTATTTTTAGTAGAGACGGGGTTTCACCGTGTTAGCCAGGATGGTCTCCATCTCCTGACCTCGTGATCCATCCGCCTCAGCCGCCCAAAGTGCTGGGATTACAGGCGTGAGCCACTGCGTCCCGCCAATTTTTATATTTTTAGTAGATACAGGGTCTCACCATATTGGCCAGACTGGCCTCAAACTCCTGGCCTCATGTGATCCGCCCCACCTCCCAAAGTGCTGGGATTACAGGCGTGAGCCACCACACCCAGTGGGTTTTAAGCTTAAAAACAAACGACAACAAAAAACACACTATTCTGCAGCCTCTGGAATCTTCTAAGATCAAAATTAAACCTGAGAAAATTTACTTCAACTCTCCCACCCCCCCAAAAACACAATTAACTGAAGATATCGAAGAAAAATAAAAACATTTTAAAGGTATCACTGAAAAGCACTGTCAGTACTTGTCTGATGAGATAACTATGGCTGTGTCATAAATTCAGATTATGCGAGAGAAATAGCTTTTGTCCAGTGGATGTGCTCTTTTGAGAAAACCAATTCTGAGCTGAAATTTAATGTTGGAACAGTTTCCTCTATAAAACTCAACTTGAAAGGTTCCAGCAGAAGATGAAATGTCATCCTCACACTGGGCCTGGGCAGTGCGTGCTTAACTGGGAGGGGGCACAGGCACCTCAGAACTTAACTGGTTTTCCAACTCTCGATGTCTGAAAGAAAAAAAAAAGGGACTTTCAGTGTTGAGGAAACCAAACGCTCCTAACCTGGGACCACCGGCAGTCCAGCCTTCCCCTAGGGTTGACAGGATGAGCCTGTAGACCTTGCAGTTGCAGTTCATTTCTGCGCAGCTCTCTGTCAGAAAGTTCCGCCTTAACCATCGGGCGCGGTGGCTCACACCTGTAATCCCAGCACTTTGGGAGACCAAGGTGGGTGAATCACCTGAGGTCTGGAGTTCAAGACCAGTTTGGCCAACATAGTGAAACCCCATCTCTACTAAAAATACAAAAAATTAGCTGGGTGTGGTGGCAGTAGCTGTAATCCCAGCTACTCGGGAGGCTGAGGCAGGAGAATCACTTGAACCTGGGGGGCAGAGGTTGCAATGAGCTGAGATCGCACCATTGCACTCCAGCCTGGGCAACAAGAGCGAAACTCCATCTCAAAAAATAATAATAATAATAAAGTTCTGCCTTACCATAAACCAAGCCAAAACCCACCACTCAGTCCTACCCTGGGGAGGCTCTCAGACCTGTCTCCATGTCAATGGCACCAGCTTCATCCCCAGCCACGCACCCAGCGTTAGCAAAGAAAGAAGGAACCGCCTATTCACTTTCTTGATATATATACCTTCCCAAAGAATCCAGAATAAACTATATATCTCAATAGCATGAAAATTAAAACCTTACATTCAATAAACAGCTCCTCCCTCTCCCAAAAGACTATCACTTCAGATTAGAAAATAACTTATGCAGAAACCTTATCGATAACAATGCTTGCTCCAAAGGCCTTATTCAGTATGCATGGTTCACTGGGACTTTTCACAAAACTAATACATCCATTTGCTAATCATGAAAAATAATCTTCATATTTTCTTAATTAATAATCTCACCAGCAACTGCTTAATCACCTAATACTATTTGAGACTACTGTTATCAGATAGATAGCAACCTGAAAATACAATGAACCAATGCTCCCCAAACGAAAACCGTAGGTTAAGATTTCTACACTGTTTATCCATAAGTCGAGTACTGTACACCCTAACTAAATGCACACCAACTCCCTTTTCAAAACACAAATTTTAACATCGGCGTTTTCCTTCAATAAATGCATTTCACAATCCTAACAAAAACCTTCCATGAAGACAGGATGGACATGGTGGCTAAGGCCTCTAATTCTAGCACTTTGGGAGGCTGAGGCGGGAGGATCGCTTGAGCCCCAAAGTTCGAGACCAGCCTGGTTAACAGGATCTCTTTTACACACAGATCCCATCTCTATTATTTAAAAAAAAAAAAAAAGGCTTCCATGCAAATGAATTTAGCAAACAAAACTGATACTGCTTCTGCATGCTAACCATGTAATTTAAAAGACACAATAAATGTTAAAATACCATTTGAACCAACTATCGATTGACAGGGAAAAATATAGGAGGTTCTTAAAAGTCAAAAGCCTCAGCCGGCAGCCGTGTGGAATTTTCAGCTCCCCACTCCCCACCCCCACCCAGCTTCCAGCCGAAAAGCCGATCCAGGCAGGAGGAAGACACCCAGCCTTTGTGCTATTTCCTGTCCTCTCCCCCACCTTCGGGCCTTCGGAATATCGCAAACCGGGCCCCGAAACTCGGAGCGGCGGCGGCCGCCCCACAAAGGCACCGCCGGGAGCGCCATCTTGGCGCGGCCACCGGGCCCATTCATTCGCGGGCCTGGGCCGGGGTCCGCGCAACCCCCCGGCCGACACGCGCGGGGCGCCGGCGCCAGACAGACCCCGGCCTCGGCAGGAGAAGGGCGAGGCCACAGCGCGGCCGTCTCCGCGACTCGGCACAGCGAAAGGGCCGAAACCGTTATTTTCCCATTTCCCGACGCCGCGCCCGGCTTCCGCTTTAAATCCCCACTCCGCCCGCGGCGCCCGGCCCGGCTTCCCCATTTCATTGTTCCCCTTCCCCGCGCTCGCCCCCTGCGGCCGCCCGGCCCTCAAAGTCACCCCGATAGGCGGCCCGCGCGGGGGCTCCGGCCGCCGACACCGCCCCGCCTGCACGCCCGCCCGGCCTTTGTTCTCGCGCCGAGGGCCCGAGCGCCACGTCCGGCTCCCCACGCAGGGCCCGGCCCCGCCCGACCCGCGCCCCCGAGGCCCCGGCCGCCGCCACGGGAAGCTCCCGCGGCGCGCACAGCCCCGCACCCCGGGGCCGAAACTCGGCCCCCAGCCGTGGGCCTCGGACCCCGGCTCCTCGCCCGAGACCCCGCCCTCGACCCCGACCCTGCACCCCGAACCTCGGACCCCAGCTCCCGGCCCCCGCCTTCGGACGCCGCCCGCCGCACCCGGGCGGGGCAGGAAGACGCGGCCCCGGCCGGCGGGTGCGGTGGGGGCGGGGCGGGCGCCCCCTGGGCGGGCCGGTGGACGAACTGAGGCCGGGTCCGGGGCTGGGGGCTGCCGCGCTCACCTCAGCGCCCTCGTCGCGGCCTGACGCGCCCGCACCGCCGCCTCGGCCGCTGCTCGGGAGGTCGTCGCGCTCGGGCCGCGCTGCGCGCTCCGCGGGCGCTGCGGGCAGGTGCGCACCGGCAAGGCTCGGTCCACTCCCGCCGCGGCGGCTGCTCCACTCCCGACCCCGCTCCCCACTCGCCGCCCGCGCCCGCTCCCGCTCCCGCTCCCGCCGCCGCCGCCGCCGCCTCCGTCCGCCCCTCAGACGCCTCCAGCCATCGGGATGGGCGCGGCGGGCCCCTGCCCGCAGTCTCGGGAAACCCCACGCGTTCGCGTCACCACGCACGTCGCGCGTCGCGCGCGCTCGCTAGGCCCGACGGGCACGCGCACGCCTGCGCGCTTGCAACTCGCAACGGGCCCGAGCGCGTGTCCGAGCGGCTTAAAGAGGCCGTGTTGCTGTCTGTCCTCCGGGACCGCTGCTTCAGGAGACCCCCCCCCGGCGGCCCGGCCCTACGGGGACCGAGCGGGATGGGGACCGGGGCAGTGGGCCCTCGGAGACGGGACGGGGCGGGGGGAACACTGGCGTGGAGCCCTCCGGGGACAGCGTAAGTTTGGGTAACTGCGGGCGGGGACTCCTCCGGGGGCGGTGGTTGGGTAACGGCGGGCGGGGGTCACTCAAGGGACGGGGCGGGGAAGGCCGCGGGCGGGGACGGTCCCTCTGGGGACGGGGCGAGTAGGGGCACCGCGGGCGAGGTCGTTGCCTGCAGAGGAGACGCCAGGCCCCGCGAGCAGGTCGGGGTCCCGGGCAGGCGCAGGTGCCCTCCGGGCTCTCAAGCAGGGACTGCGGCGAGCTCCGACGGGGCTGGCGGGCAGAGACCCGCGCGTGGGCTCGGTGCGTGTGAGGTGGGCCTCGGGCTGCGGAGGAGGGCAGCGCCCCGTGGCTCCTCTCGCTGCTGCGGGCAGGGCCGCCTGTCAGGAGCGGAGGCCGCGGACCCCTCCCAAGCCGCTGAGCAGTGGACAGCGGGGACCGGAGACCCCAGGTGAGGAAGGGGAACGAAGTCAAGAAGGCCACATGTCCTGGCTTCCAGGCTTGATGTCCTCAGAAGCCTCCAGAACGTCCATGGAAGCCGCCCCTGCGCCCACCGCCTCCTGCTGTCTTTCCAGCTGAGCTCCGGCTGCCCCTCACCCCCGGCTTCTGCACTCCGCTCCTCCCCAGCCAGCGCCCTGCTCTTCCACCCGCCTGGGCCTTCATCCCCTCCGAGCTCCCCTTCCACACCAAACCTGGCGTCCGTTGTCCTCCAGGCCTGCACCAGCACAGTGGAAAGGGAGAAAGACCGAGCCTCATCCCCTGGGCCTCCCCTCAACCAGGGCCCCAACCTCAAGGGGCCACGCCACCCCACCCCCAACGCCTATTTCCCACCTAGTCTCTCCAGACCCTGGGATACCACCCGCCTCTCTCAACTGGCGTTTTCCTTCTCATTTTGTGTGCATGGCGCTTGTGTGAGAAAGCGGGCACACAGTAAGTGCGGCTTCTGGATGCGTCCGCCGCCTGCCCTCCCTGCCATGCGCTTTCCCTCCCTGGGGAGCCTCCACCAGACAGGGAACCCATGCCTTCCCACCCTTCTGTCTCCCTCCCACTTCACTTGTCCGCGGCATTCCCGGAGGCCTTTATTTCTGGCACTAGATGCTCCAGGGTCCTGTTGTATTCTCCCTGCCCCAGCCTGAACTCAGCTATTTCTGCTGGCAACCTGGTTCATTGTGGGAGAATGTCATGCAGAGCCCAGGATGGGGTCCCGGGCGTGCTCATTGCTGCTGGGGTGTCCTTGCAGCTGGTGGAGCAAGGGAGTACATCTATGTACATGCTCCCACACATACGGATACACACAGTTTCATGGGTGTTTTTGTCTATGATTTTCTTGGGCGCCACACATTTACTCTGATGCCAGGCCGACACTGCAGGGCTCACCCTGTTCCGAATGAGGGGCATCCTGCTTTGGGAGTGAGGAACCCGGCTCTGATTATCTCCTGTGTAACCAGTCTCTCATCCTCTCTTCCACCCCACTGTATGCTACCCACTCCTCACCCTGTGTGGCCTCTAACCTCCACTGGGCCACCGAGGTGTCATCCCCACAGGGGCACCTGCCTACCTAGCACAGTTGAGCAAGGACTGAATTCCCAGTGAAATTTTTTGAATTTTTATTTTATTTATTTATTTTGGGGGTTTTTTTTTTTTTGGTTTTTTTTTTTTGAGATGAGGGTCTCCCTGTGTTGCTCAGGCTGGTCTCAAACTCCTGGGCTCAAGCAGTCCTCCCACCTCAGCCTTCCAAAGGGCTGGGATCACAGGCAGGAGCCACTGCGCACACGGGCTGAATTGTCAATCATATCACTGAAAGCATTGACAGTTCCCATCACCCACTCTCTCCGCAGGGTCCAGGCCCCTCCTCCCCTCCCCACTGTCCAGACGCTGGCTCCTCGATGCTCCCTGACACCACCGAATTCCACGCTCCAGCCTTTGGCCCAGTGGCTCTATCTGCCTGGGACAGTCTCCCCATAACCTCGTGTAGTTCAGGCCTTTGCGGGTGTCACCTCCATGGAGATGTCTCCCCAGCCCTGACCATCCCTCCCAGCTACCTTGCTGGTTTCTCCTGTGGTTTCTTCCTGGCTGCCTTCTCTGGGCCCTCCCCCTGTTGCCGTGTGAGCCCTGTGAAGCCCACTCTTACCGCTGCTCCACCAGCCCAGCGTGGTGCCAGGCACACGGGGTCATCAGAGAACAGCTGGTGTGGCTGATGCTCTGAGTTCTGAATGAGGAAGATGCAAGCCAGCACAGGGACCAGAGCCCGGAGCAAGAGATCAGGAGGGGCAGAACCATCACCTGGGCCAGAACAAGGGCAGGGCGCGAGGAACCTGAGTGGTTGGACGTCAGGAGAGCCGGGCCCCGCAGGAAGGCTTCTCTGCTTGGACGCTCGAGAGGCGGGTGGAGCATGGGGCACATCAAGGGCCGAGGGACGATGCAAAGTCAGTCGGCGGACGGTGTTCTGCACATTGGCAGGTGAGGGGTTAGAGGCGGCCCTCAGAATCTGGCAGGCCTAATGCCAGCCTTCAGTGCCCACCTGAGTTAAAAGTGGAGCTAGGCGGGGCGCGGTGGCTCACGCCTGTAATCACAACACTTTGGTAGGCCGAGGTGGGCGGATCACAAGGTCAGGAGATGGAGACCACGGTAAAACCCCGTCTCTACTAAAAATACAAAAAACTAGCCGGGGGAGGTGGCGGGCACCTGTAGTCCCAGCTCCTCAGGAAGCTGAGGCAGGAGAATGGCGGGAACCCGGGAGGCCAAGCCTGCAGTGAGTCGAGATCGCGCCACTGCACTCCAGCCAGGGGGACAGAGCGAGACTCCGTCTCAAAAAAAAAGTGGAACTGAGGAGCAGGGAGAGGAGGCTGAGGCGGCAGCCGTTTGTCAGGAGAGACCTTCCAGCAGCTGTGGGATGGGAGGGGCCCCGGAAGGTCCCTGCAAGCCTGGCCCAGGGCCATGGAGGAGCCTCAGGAGGAGTGGCCACCACACTGCGGGCCAGACTGGGCAGTGGCAGGGCTGTGCTCTGGGGCTCCCTTGTCCCACAGGCCACCATCAGACTGGTCAGCCCATCTCATTACAGCCAGGGCCATGGAGGAGCCTCAGGAGGAGTGGCCACCACACTGCGGGCCAGACTGGGCAGTGGCAGGGCTGTGCTCTGGGGCTCCCTTGTCCCACAGGCCACCATCAGACTGGTCAGCCCATCTCGTTACAGCCAGGGCCATGGAGGCAGGCCACACAGGAGGATGCCAGGCCAGTGCCTGCCTTAGCCGTATCCAAGGGACAGGGTGCAGCCCCAGCACCTCCAGCTTATCTGTAGGTCGTCGTGGTGAGGCAGGGCTGTCCCTGGAACTTGCCCCATAGTCCAGGCAGAAATCCTATTTGATGGTTTATGGAAGGCAAAGTTGAGAGGAAGGAGGGAGGGAAGGAGCAGGGGCCCAGGTGCTTACTCCCAGGTCCTTACTGCAGCCTGGGGCTGCCCTCTGCAGTACACAGTCCCTGGAAGGTAGGGGCGTCTGCCCTGAGTACGGTGTGACCGCAAAGATGCTTCTCGCCTCCAGCCAGAGCCCATCCCTAGAGATAAGAAACACCCGAGCCCTTGGTGGCCCGGGGGGTCTAGAGCCGGGCTCAGACCTGCCTTCCCTTCCCCACCTCCATTCCTTTCAGCCCAGGCCTCTTGTGTCTTTTGGCCCTCACCTACCGCCCCACCCTCTCCTTGGCAGAGCAAACGCTTCCCGGTAACACTCCCTTCTCTGCAAGGATCTCAGAGATCAGCCTGGGTTCCTGAGTCCAGAGCCACACCCAGTCAGCTCTGGGTCCCTAAGTCCAGAGCCATACCCGGTCAGCTGTGCCCAACCCAGGGCAGGACTGAGCTGGGCCGCAGGGCGGAGGTGGCTGCCCCGATACTGGCTCCACACCAGGCCTTCTCTAAAACCCCTGGGAGCGGGAGACACAATTCAGATGCCCCACCCCCACCTGCTCCTCAGCAGGAAATGGTCTAATGGGAAAGTAGGTCTTTTAAATCTGAATTATTCAATCTGTGCACGTGACAGGGCCCGCAGCTCCACCTCTGTGCGCTCCCCGGGCGCTGCGCTCCAGCCAGGCTTTGAGGGGTCTCGGAGCTGCAGGAGACATTTCTAGATTTCCAGCTTTGGCAGGAGAGGTCCCTTTGTCTTGCCCTGGGCTCTAGGCTCCTGCAGGGCATCTGTCCTCCTCCTACCAGCACTGTGAGGTTCTCCACCACACGGCCCTCTGCCATCGTCTTCACTTCCAGTGAGATCCAGGCCCCAAAGGACAGAATGGAGAGGGAGGGAGAGAGGAGCGCATTGTGACGGTGCCCGGGGGTGCAGAATGTAGGTGATCAAGAAGAAAGCCCTAATTAGCTCCTGCAGCTTTCAAAGGCAGGGGCTGGTGGAGGAATGGGGCCATGGCACCTCTCTAACCCTCAGCACACACCTGCCGATGCCCACTGGGTGCCAGGGCGGGTTTAGCACCAGGCCCTGGCCCTGAGACCAGAGCAGGGCAGCTCTGCTTGAGGGGTTGAGTAGGGCCCTGGTGCCCAGCTTCATGGGGAGTGGCCAGTGAGGAGGTGTCACCGCAGCAGAGCCAGGCACAAAGTGAGGACAGCTGCTGTGGCTAGTGAATGAGTGGCTGGCAGAGCTGGGAGGGTCACTGTCCTGCAGAGTCACAGACATCATGGCCCAGGAGGCTAGTGTGGCAGGCAGAGCGAATGCCGGGCCTTGGGGGCCTCTGGGAGGAGGCTGGCTGTAGCCCGCTGGACCCTGTCTTGCAGGTGTAGGGAGTTGGCCTCTGTACCCGACCAGGACCCGTCCCTTGTTCCGAAGCTCCCCACCATGCTACTCACCCCCGACCCCCTGGCCACCAGCCTGTGGTCATGAATCATGAATTGCACATCCTTCTTGGGCACACGTGCAGGCACACCCAAGCTGGGTATACATGCATGTGCACAAACACATGAGCTGGGTATATACACATGTGCACACACGGGGGAATTGGTGTCTGCTGGGGGGTGGAGGAGGTGATGGTGTAAGTGAGCAGATGCATTGAGGGGCATATTTCCCCTCCCTGCTAGCGTTGGACTAGAATCCCCGGGGAAAACTCAGGTGGCCTCCTGTCACTCTGGTGAGCGGCCCCAGCTGAGCTGACACTCGCAGAGGTAGATGCGTAGCTTACACCACCAGTTCCAGTAAAGGCCTGGCAAGACCCAGCCCCTGCCTCCCCTGCAGGCAATGGAAGAATTCACCTTTCTCCTTAGAGGCCTTTATCATGGGCCCATCTGACCTCACTGCAGAATCCCGGAACTGCACACACAGAGATAGAAATCCTGGCTTTGTCCAGTGGCCCTGAGTGCCACAGATGAACCTAAATGAGGGACTTTTGGCTCAAGCCTGTAATCCCAGCACTTTGGGAGGCCGAGACGGCGGATCACGAGGTCAGGAGATCGAGACCATCCTGGCGAACACGGTGAAACCCCGTCTCTACTAAAAAATACAAAAAGCTAGCCGGGCGAGGTGGCGGGCGCCTGTGGTCCCAGCTACTCGGGAGGCTGAGGCAGGAGAATGGCGTGAACCCGGGAGGTGGAGCTTGCAGTGAGCCGAGATCGCGCCACTGCACTCCAGCCCGGGCGACAGAGCGAGACTCCGTCTCAAAAAAAAAAAAAAAAAAAAAGAGGGACTTTTGTTTTTGTTTTTGTTTTTGAGATGGAGTCTCACTCTGCTGCCCAGGCTGGAGTGCAGTGGCACAATCTCTGCTCACTGCAACTTCCGCCTCCCGGGTTCCAGCAATTCTCCTGCCTCAGCCTCCCAAGGAGCTGGGACTACAGGGGGGCACCACCATGGCTAATTTTTGTATTTTTAGTAGAGACGGGGTTTGATACCCAGCTTGTGTGTGCATACATGCATGTATACCCAGCTCGAGTGTGTCTGTACACATGCACATATACCATCTGGTGTGCATGCATGTACACGTGAGTATACCGTTTAGGTTGCATGTACGTGTATGTATATCCAACTCTTGTGTGTGCATGCACATTTACCAGCTCCAGTGTGTTTGCACACATGCATGTGTACCATATACTGTGCATGTACATGCATGTATACCCAGTTTGGATGTTTGCACATGCTCAATTCATGTGTGCATGTACATGTGGGTATACCATGTATACTGGCCAGGCTGGTCTCAAACTCCTGACCTCGTGATCTGCCCACCTTGGCCTCCCAAAGTGCTAGGATTACAGGTGTGAGCCACCATGCCCAGTCAAGGAGGGGCTTTTTCTTTTCTTTCCTTTTCTTCTTTTTTTTTTTTTTTT